TTTATAATGAAACTCACACTTTGAATAGAAAATAACAGATTAGGATTCTATTTTCTGTAAATTATTTAAATGTTTTTGTTAATTAATAACATATATATTAACAACTTTTGATAAAAGAAAAAAGTTTAAAAAATTCTAATTAGTTGAATATAAAAAAAGAGAATCAATTTTTTCACTTTAAATATAATTTGATGGGAGATGGTTTTATATCTATTCTTAGAAATATTACTTTGAAATTATTTTTTAGACCAAATTATGTAATAATTAAAGAGTGTATCTGAAGGAAGTAAAACAAATTATTTATTTAAGATTTATTCCCTTATTTCTATCAATTTTTTAATAAAATTTATTTATATTAATAATTATATGAAAAATTGTAAAACGATAGAGACTCAAGAGATGCTTTAATGCTCAAATAAACATAACAATTGTCCAGTTATTGTGATCTTATTAGATAAAGATCTTGAAGGAGCATAAAGATTAGTGTGCCAATAATGTATAGTAAATAATTTAGGATTTATTAATGGAATTTCTATTACCTAAGGATTATGTAGAATTCAATCAATAAAGGAATAAATTTTTGATTCAATTTCCATTCACTTTTAATTAGCTTATGATAAATTGGAATCTTTTCTAGGATAAATTTAGTAAGTTAAAAGAGACTTTCTATAGTCGATAAATCAAATTACTGAGAACCTCGATCTTTGGATGAAATAATTGGTAACACTAAAGGAAGGGTATGAATAATATAGCTTACTTGCTGAAATTGACATTCTAACTAAACCCTCTGATTAATTGATAGAATTAGAAAAATAAAAATTTAAAGATAAAATAAAAACAATAATTGATTAATATTGGACTAAGATTTTTTAGAATATATAAATATTAGAAAGAACCAGCAAAGATTAAGAATTATTATTCTAATTGAATTAATTACAAGATTTAAATTTGGAAACCATACAAAGTGCAGAAAATGTTTAGAATGAATAATAATAGAAAGAATCTAATCAATCTACAATTAGTTAAGTTGATAAATAAAATCGAGTTTAATCCCAATTGATTTAAGAAGTTAATTAATAATAATAGTGTCATGTTTTAGATTTTAATAACGATAATTCTCTAATAGCCGCATCTTGTGATAAAAATATTAAAATTTGGAATTTCAGAGATGGATAGATGATTGATTAAAATATAGTTTTGACTGGTCATGAAAGTGATGTTTTTTGTATTTTATTTAGCAAGAAAATTAATTGGATTGTATCTGGTGATAAAAATAGTCAAATAAGAAGTTGGATTCAGAAATAAGGTTCTTTTGGAGCAACTTAATGGGAAAGCTCTTAACCACTAACATAGCATAAATCCTTCATACTCAGTTTGTATTTAAATTAAAATGAAGATGAATTAATATCTGGAAGTGGAGATTAAACGATAAAAGTATGGCGAGTGAATTGTTAATCAAATAAAATTGAATTCTTATACTCCCTTTGTAAGCATAATGGTGAGGTTGATAAAGTAAACCTAAATTCTAAAGAAACTCAAATGGTGTCTTGTGGATGGGATTCATAAATCATTTTATGGGAAAAGGATGGCAGTAATAAATGGTAATTTAAATATATTTTAACTTAATCAATTCAAGATATTGGTATGAGAATTGGATATTTAGAAGATGATACGATAGTTTGGTGTTAACTCAAATAACCATTTTTACATGTTTTTAAATTATAAAATGGTAAATTTTAAGAAAGATCAGATTTGAAAGTTTAATTAAAAGAAATTATTCCTGAAAATAACTTTTTCGATTATAATCTATTTTAGTTAAAATATTTATCAAAAGAAAAAGTCTTAATATTCAAGTCATATAGATTTTTATATTTTATGAAAGAGAGTCTTAATTCTTAACTTATTTATCTATGCA